CAGGAACATAAAAACAGAGCTATGTTCCCAGAGAGGGACTCGTGCCTTTGATGCATCAGGGTCCTAATAGGGTTCAATCTGTTCTCATAAAATGTTCACAATGGGAGCAGAGAGCAGTTTAAGTTCGTGCGTCCTTAAATCAAACTGCTCTTATGAGTTTTTATTATCCGTTTGGCAGAATTCTGACTTAATAGAAAAATTGATTAGAATGGTTCTTATCGACTGGCATATATGAAAAGGTCTGACTGGTTGCAAAAATATAAATGGAGACATTAATGTTAATAAAGCTCTATAGATGTAAGGATTAACCCCTCAGTTCATTTTCACTTAATCACACCTTAATATTTTCTCTCTAAATGCCGTCTGGAGCAGATTTTCTAAGGAGACTTTGGGTTCTTTATATTCACTGGGACAAAAGAATATTTTATGTCATTCTTGTGGATTGCTGAAGTTCCAGTTCAATTGACTGGGATTATTATTTAGTCCATTCAGCAGCTGAGAAAAGTCCTTCCCAGGAAAACCTGATCACATCTACGCTGCTGAAGGTTAAGGAAAGAAAGCTCCTCCTCATGTTTTACTGCTTAGCTGGTAACAAAATGCTTTAAATTTGCTTCATTTTTGCTTGATCTAATAAATGAAACAAACATTAATAAGTCTTATTCGTAAATAATTAAGTATAAGTGTGTAAAATATAAAACAAAGCAAAAAAAGGGGGGAAAAAACCTCCACTGGGTTTAGTTGGAAGGGAAGCTGACGCTGGGTCTCTTCCCTCTCCGGGTCGTAATGTAAACCATCCACTTTAGAATAGAATAGTAGTAGTGAATAGTAGTAGTGATCATCCATTGTCACTAGACGAGCAGATATATCCCAGAATGCTTTGCGAGAGCTCTCCTTGCAAAGCATTAAGGGATTTGCTGTCACAGCGGTCAATAACAAAGCTGGCGCAGAAACCGTGAGGGGAGGCAGAGTCACGTGACCAACGGGGAGCGAAAAGCAGTGATCATCAGTCTGAATGGTCAATTTACTGAGTTCACTATATAGTCCCTGCTCTATATAGTGATTTAGGGGTTAGGGCGGATGGTCGGACACGGCCCAGGGCGTTCTCTTGTGCTCGGAAAAACGTCGTCAGCCTCAGCCCTAGTACTGTTCCAATTCACAAGAAAAAGAAGACGGAGAATGGACATCAGAGCAGACTTCTCCGTTCTCCGGATTGACAGCTGTCCCAGCATGCACTGTGGCAGCAGCAGCTTTCAGGTTAGTGCTCACAGAGCTCAGAGTATTGAGTTAAAAGTTCTCTCTTCTGTTGCTGTTGTTCTATAAAAGTACATTTTAAGATCATTTTAGGCGGTAATATTATGATTTTAAGCTTCACTATACGGCCCATTTACCAATTTAGTGTCTTTTAAAAAAAAGTTCAGATGTCGAGAGGACCGCGGCAACCAGCGGACCTCCAAGGCTAACTGCAGCCAGGGCTAACGTTGGCCCGTCTGCGGCAGCCAGGGCTAACGTTGGCCCGTCTGCGGCAGCCAGGGCTAACGTTGGCCCGTCTGCGGCAGCCCTCTCTCTGCATAGCCGTGTGTGAAGGACAGCCGGCTCTGATGGAGGTTTTTTTCTATTTTTTTATTTTTTTTTCATTGACAAAACCTTAATTTGATTTATGTTTATCTGACTATATTCATTATTATTCACCCAAACATCATTTATTATATTATCATTGTCATCTAAAGACTATTAATAACAGGAGGTGAAATGCAGCTCCAGACTAGCTTAGCATGTGGTGATGTCATCAGTACGCTTCTGTTCCAATTGACCCA